CCCCACTGGGGCCTTCGGTGGAGCTCCCTATGGGGCCACGAAACGCTGCCCTGGGTGGGGGAACCGCATGCGAACACCCCCACTGGGGCCTTCGGTGGAGCTCCCTATGGAGCCACGAAGCGCTGTAAGGGGTGGGTGAAACGCAGAGAGGAGGGAGGAGAGGGAGGAGGAGGGAGGAGGAGGGGGAGGAGGAGGAGAGGAGGAGAGGAGGAGAGGAGAGGACGCGGGCACCGTCTCTTCAAAACGAGGACCCAACACCACAGGATGGTTGGGAATAACATAATCAGAAGCTCGTCCCCAGACAATTTCCCAACCATCCTGTTGTGCTTGGTCCTCGGTTTGAAGAGACAACGCCCCGCAATCCTCCTCCTCTCCTCCTCTCCTCTCCTTTCCTCCTCCTCCCTCCTCCGCAATTCGCAAGCGTCCCCCACACCCAGTACACCGCTTCGTGGCCACATGGGGAGCTCCACCGAAGGTTCCAGACGCGCAGTCCGCATGCGTCTCCCACACCCAATACAACGTTTCGTAGCCCCATAGGGAGCTCCACCGAAGGTCCCAGTGGCGCAGCCCGCATGCGTCTCCCACACCCAGTACAACGTTTCGTGGCCCCATAAGGGAGCTCCACCGACGGTCCAAATGGCGCAGCCCGCATGCGTGTCCCACACCCGGCACAGCGTTTCGTGGCCCCATAGGGAGCTCCACCGAAGGTCCCAGTGGCGCAGCACGCATGCGTGTCCCACACCCAGTACAGCGTTTCGTGGCCCCATAGGGAGCTCCACCGAAGGTCCCAGTGGCGCAGCCCGCATGCGTCTCCCACACCCTGCACAGCGCTTCGTGGCCCCATAGGGAGCTCCACCGAAAGTCTCAGTGGCGCAGCCCGCACGGGTCTCCCACACCCGCTGCCCCATAGGGAGCTCCACCGAAGGTCCAAGTTGCGCAGCCCGCATGCATCTCCCACACGCAGTACAGCGCTTCGTGTCCCAATAGGGAGCTCCACCGAAGGTCGCAGTGGCGCAGCCCGCATGCGTCTCTTACACCCAGTACATCTTTTCGTGGCCCCGTAACGAGCTCCACCGAAGTCCCAGTGTCGCAGCCCGCATGCATCTCCCACACCCAGTACAGCGCTTCGTGGCCCCATAGGGAGCTCCACCGAAGGTCTCAGTGGCGCAGCCCGCATGCGTCCCCCACACCCAGTACAGCGCTTGGTGACCCCATGAGGAGCTCCACCGACGGTCCACATGGCGCAGCCCGCATGCGTCTCCCACACCCTGCACAGCGTTTCGTGGCCCCATAGGGAGCTCCACCGAAGGTCCAAGTGGTGCAGCCCGCGTGCGTCTCCCGCACCCAGTGCAGCGCTTCGTGGCCACATAGGGAGCTCCAAATGCGTCTCCCGCACCCAGTACAACGTTGCGTGGCCCCGCAGGGAGTTCCACCGAAGGTCTCAGTGGCGCAGCCCGCCTGTGTCTCCCACAGCCTGCACAGCGTTTCGTGGCCCCGTAGGGAGCTCCACCGAAGGTTCCAGTGGCGCAGCCCGCATGCGTCTCCCACACCCAGTACAGCGTTTCGTGGCTCCGTAGGGAGCTCCACCGACGGTTCCAGACGCGCAGCCCGCATGCGCCTCCCCCACTCAGTACAGCGTTTCGTGTCCCCATATAGAGCTCCACCAAAGCTCCCAGTATCGCAGCCCGCATGCGTCCCCGCCCACCCAGTGCGGCGGTTCGTGGCCCCGTGGGGAGCTCCACCGACGGTCCCAGGGGCGCAGCCCGCATGCGTTCCCCCCACCAAGTGCAGCGTTTCGTGTCCCAATAGGGAGCTCCACCGAAGGTCCCAGTGTCGCAGCCCGCATGCGTCTCCCCCGCCCGGTACAGCGTTTCGTGGCCCTATAAGGGAGCACTGCCGCAGACGAGACGTACAACTGCGGTATTCAACATTGCCATTGCATATGGTTGGGTCCTTCGCTAGGCTGATGTTTGACTATGTTTGAAATTTTCCCCCTGTAGAAGGGCATCCCCTGCTTAAATCTATACATCTCCACCGCTGCTGGCCAGGCCCATCCTGGGCGCAGGAACGGTGTGCAGGACTCCCTGGCAGGTCTGCGCTGGATCGGATCGCGACATCGGATCGGATCGAGAGCGGATCGAATCGCCAACGAGCCGGCCCGAATTGGATCGAAATCGCATCGCCGCGCCCCGCTTCTGGCTGGCCCTGGCCGATGCAAGTGAATAGAGCCGGATCGCATCGAATTGGAAGGAGGAGGAGGAGGAGGAGGAGGAGGAGGAGGAGCTGGATCGCATCGAATGGGAATCGCGGCCCCAGCAGGCGAATCGAAGCGCACTGAATCGCACCGTGGGCGGCCCTGCCTGGCCACGCCAGCGGGGCATGTTCGGTCACGAGCCTCCGCTTCGCGCGTCGCCGCGGCGGCCCCGGCGCAACACGCTGCGCCATGCGAGCGGATGGCGTGCCGCCCCGCTCCGCGGGGCGGGAGGCTCGGGAAAGCTCGGGTCATGTTGCTCCCATCGTCGTACTCAAGGACTTCCTCCCAGAAAGTCGCCGGCCCCACGGGCCAGAGGCGTGCTAAGATCTCCGGTAACTGTTTAACAGGATTCTACTTCGCGCGCGCGTGGCGGCCCCTGGGGGTCCCCGGACGAAAAGTACCCCGGCCGATCCCCGGCGGATCCCCGGGCGATCCCCGGCCAGGTTCCCCAGAAAGCTCCAGGGGAGGGCAATTTTTCGACACCCCTCACGAGGATCGTGGCTTCTGAGGGGGGAGCCGCAGTCGATCACCCCTCCTCTCGCCCCCGCGAGCTTCCCAAGAGGCTCCAGGGGCCCCCAAGATGCCGCCAACGAGCTCCAAGAGGCCTCCAAAAAGCTCCCAAGAGGCCCATAAGAGCCCCACAAGAGGCTTCAAAGTCGCTCCCATGTGCTCCCAAGAGGCCCCATCCGCCCCCAAAAGCGCTCCTGAGAGGCTCCACCCGCTCACAAGAGCCTCCCAAGAGGCTCCACGGGCCTTCAAGCACGCAAGCAAGTGCCAGCGATGCTACAATATGGGCCGGCGGAATAAGCGAAGCGATTGAATAATTTCAAGCACCCAGAACAGTATCGAAACGGTGTCGAACGAGTATCGCCTCCCAGGGCCCGACACGTGAAAGCCCACCAGTTTGGGTACTTTCTTGGTGCTCGAACTTCTTTCTGGTGATCAAGGCTGAAGCAGGTTGGGACATCATAAAGCTCGGGACGAGGATAGCGAGTCGCGCCGCAGCGTGGTGGGCCAGAAGCGGCGGAGCGACGCGCTGACCAAGAACTCCCGACCATGCGCCGCTCCTGGACCCAGGATGGGCCTGGCCGGCAGCGGTGGAGAGACATGGATCTCGTCGCCCTGCTCGGGCGCGGTCTAACCGACCCCTGGCAAACCATCTTCTTCCGTGACGTCATCCTCGCCTCTCAAGCCGGTTTGCCAGGGGTCAGGTGCAGTCGAAACGCTGCCAGAAGGAACCCTGAACAGGGAACGAGGCCTCTTCCGATAAGGTAAAGCTTCGACTTCCCATAGAAAACCGTAACCGAAGGAACACCCGAGAGAAAAACTGCAAAACAGTTAGGGAGCACTGAGCCCCTCCCAAACGAAAAGGGTTCCCTCTTCAGCGGCTCGACTGCATGCGGAGACCAAACGGTACCGACATCGCTACTCCCCGGACCTCTCCCAGGGTGCGTTCTGATCAAAATTCCGAGGCGCATCCTGCAGTGGCGACGAGGGCAGCCCAGGAGGCCGGAGAAAAAGGGAAAATGAGGATAGGGTAGAGGCCTGGGTACCTTTTCCTCCTCTGAGCCGTCGCGATTTTTCCCCAACGTCGACCTCCAAAGATCTGGACCCCTTCCCCGGGACCGGTGTTTCGTCCTGAGTCGTTTTTCGACAATCCCGAGGCCAGGTAAGGCCCTCCGTAGGGCGAAAATAGCGAAAAACCTCCGTCGACCCATACCAGAAGGACGCACGAGAAGGATGCAAGGGCCTTAGAAGGCCGTTTCGAATCTTGTCGAGCGGGTCGCGGCCAACGAAAGTGGCCAAGGATGGACCGAGGAGACCCTCGGGAAACTTGCCCATCCTTACAATGGAGCTCCAGGTTTTTTAACCACATAAAGCGCGTTATGTGGTTGAGTGGGTTCGCTGGCACATAACATAACACATTTGTGCCCGGCCGCTCGAATTGTTTTTTGTCCTGAAAGCGCTGTCACTGTGGCGATTCTTTGTGCTGATGTAGCATTGAGGGCTGGCTGTAGGCCTTCCATTGGAGCAGGAACCGACCGTCCTGGCATTCCTATAGGCCTACCACGAAATTGTCATTGAACCCAACAATGTTCTGAGAACAAAAAACAATGTTCTTAGAACATGAACCCGATGTGTTAAACCAAGACGGTCCCCGCCAGAACTGTTCTGAGAACATCTCGTGCAGACCACAGAAGGTTCTTAGAACATTCTTTGGTGGCCCTATCGGCGAGCCAAGACGCTTCTAATTGCACCGACCTTGCTGAACTGGACTTTTGCGTGGATTTCTGTCAATGCAAGACCCCGAAACGGCGAGTGAAAAACGAAGTGAATTTCGCGTGGATTCTTGCTCAGTCTTCTTCCTGGCCAAAATCCTCCTCGATCCTGTCGTTTTCCGAACGAAATCCGTTCTGCGATGCTGGCACCATGACGGAGGAGGAGGAGGAGGAGGAGGAGGAGGAGGAGGAGGAGGACGACGAGGAGCAGCAGGACAAGGATGAGGAGGACGATGATGAGGATGAGGCTGATGGTGAGGAGGAGGAGGCGGAGGAGGAGGTGGAGGAGGGGGAGGCGGAGAAGGCGGAGAAGGCGGAGGAGGCGGAGGAGGTGGAGGAGGAGGAGGGGGAGGAGGAGGAGGAGGAGAAGGAGGAGGAGGAGCAGCAGGACAAGAATCCGGAGGACTAGGATTGATCGATCGGCGGCTCGTCGGCGGCTCGTCGGCGCCCGGATCCCCGGCCCACCGCCCACGCTCGGCGGCTCGTCGGCGTCCTGCGGGCCGAACAGCTCGGGGCCCGGCGGCACGGCCGCGGCGCCGGCGCGGCCGCAGCTCGTGGCGGGCAGGCCGGCCCAGACCTCGTCGGGCGGCACCTGCTCGCCCTTGAGCACCTGGCTGTTGACGACGACGACGACGACGCCGACGACGACGACGACGACGACGACGACGACGGCGGCGACGACGACGACGACGACGACGCGACGACGACGATGCTACGACGACGACGGCGACGGCGACGGCGACGACGACGACGACGACGCCCTACGACGCTACGACGACGAGGACGGCGACGACCTGGCTGTTCTCGAGCACGACGACGGCGGCGACGGCGACGGCGACGGCGACGGTCACGGCGACGGCGACGGCGACGGCGACGACGACGACGACGACGGCGACAACGACCTGGCTGTTCTCGAGCACGACGGACCCGTCGCCCGTGACAGCGCCCGGGCTCACCTCTCGATCGGGGAGCGCCCCGCCCCGAGATCCTGGCGGAGCAGTCCTTTCACAGCAGGCGTCGTCGACCAGGCTCGAATAAGGACGCAGATCGATCTGGCTTGAACAGGCTTTCACGACAGGTGATCCACATGTTTCGCCCATGCTCTTTTCAAGACAGGCGTTGTCGCCCCGGGACCCTCACGGATCGATCCCGCTCGAAACAGGACGCGGAAAGATGGGGTCTAGGGTTCGAGGGGTGATTTTTCGCGACGCTTCAGTTTTCTTTGCAACGCCAGGTCTCAGGGAAGAGGGAGGCGTCCAAGAGGGGGGGCTGCAAATCATGGCCAGAGGCATGTGCGCGGACCAGGTAGGCTGAGTGCATGGCGACGGGGGAGTCGCGCGGCAGAAAGGAGAGACCCAATGACCCCGATCATCCATGGGCGGCGCGCACACGGGGGTGGAGGGAGGGGGGAGGGCTTCTCAGCTTAGAAGCAGGGGTGCTTCTAATCGGGGGCGGCCAAGAGGAGGGCGTTCAAGAGGGGAGGGCGCAACTCATGGCCAGCGGCGTGTGCGCTGCCCCTGGGGGGACAGGGACGTAGTTAATGAAATAAGAAGAGGCGCCATGAAATCTGAGGAAATCTCGTGGCCGACGCCATGATACCCCCCTCCCTCCTTGTTATCACCCCCCTCTTGGCCGCCCCCGATCCAAGAAGCCCTCCCCCTCCTCGCACCCCCCTCTGCGCGTGGCCGAATCCAGCAGAGGGGCTGGAGAGGGCAGGGGGGCACGGGGCAGGCGGGGCGGCCCGAGGAGGTGTGTGCGCGGACGAGTGGGGGCGGGGGGAGGAGGAGGAGGAGGAGGAGGAAGGAGGAGGAGGAGAGGAGGAGGAGGAGGAGGAGGAGGAGGAGGAGGAGGAGGAGGAGGAGGAGGAGGAGGGGGAGGAGGAGGAGGTTCTCAGAAGCCCTCCAGCCTGCTGCGAAGCCGCGTCTGTTTTCCGAGGGAAGGCTCAGAAGGCCGGAGGCCTTCAGAGCCTCCTGAGCAGGCCCGGCCCCCTCTGACGTCCCCCCTGGGCTCGCCGCCGACCCGCGGATGCGCGGTCGCACGGATGCGTTCCGCGCGGGGCATCCGCGAAAGCACGCCCCGCATCCTCGGGCGAGGTCGCGGTCCCCCGGGGCCTGGTCCGGGAGGCCGTGGTCGGAGGTGAGGGGGTGAGATCGCAATGAAACGGAGAGTCCCCCACCAGGAAATCCAGGTGTCGGAAACAATTAAGCAACACTCATGCGGAACACATGTTTTGAACTCCCCCCCCCTCCCCCCAAATGCAATGTTGGTTTCGAACCTTCCGATTTTGGGACTCCGAGTGGTCTTCAAGCAACGTGCCAGTTTTGAATTGCGGGCGGGGGGGGAGTGTTGCTTATTTTCTTCCCTCAACCGTCGGTTTCGGTTTCGTGCTCGTGTCGTGCGCGCGGGCGAGACGAAGCTGCGTGGGCGGGCGAGAGGAATGAACCCTCCTCTGGCCAGGGCGCCGCCGGGCCAAGAGACCGCCTCCCCCGGGTTGCCCAGCGGTGGCCGGGGGTGTCCCGCGGCGAGTATCCTGTCGGTGCCCCGTCGGTGTCTCGTAGTGAGTTCGATCGTGAGATCCATAGTGTGATCGATAGTGAGATCGACCGCGGGATCGATAATGAAAAGGATAGTGGGATCGTCAGTGATATCGATATTGAGATCGATAGTGCGATTGATAGTGAGATCGATCGTGAGATCGATAGTGTGAGATCGATAGAAGGATCGATAGTAATATCGATAGTGAGATCGATAGTGGGATCGATACTGAAACCGATAGTGAGATCGATCGTGAGATCGATTCAGATCGATTGGGTGAGACGATAATTCCTCCCCCCACCCGAGCCTCCTTATTACCCGAAGGGTGGTCGTACAGGAACGGATCTGTTTTCGCCCACGATCACCATCGAGTGGGACAGCATGGACGTGTAAGCCCCCAGGTACGTGGGCACCAACTTGATCACCATGTTCTCCACCGTGTGGCAGGTCGTGTCGCATTCCCAGCCGACCGAGGAGCAGTCTCCGATGTGGAGCAGGTCGTACTCGAACGCGAGGCCGAACAGGCAGCAGTTTTTTCCAACGGTAGCCCCCATAGCACGGTAGTACCAGGCTTTGAACAGGGTTCCGGCCAACGCATCGAGCGTGTCCTCCATGGCGCCCGCAATGATAAGCATCGCCATCCAGATGATGTGGTAGCGGCTGAAGAACGCGTAATCTCCTTCCTCGTACCTTCCGACCAAGCACCACTTGAGGGCCCAGTTCAAACACAACGTGGAAAGATTCACTGCGAAGAAGACGATCGGGAGAACGGCCAGTGCAATCAACCAGCCAGCAGACCCAGAGACGCAACCATGCAGCGCATATGTGGCCAGCCAGACATACTGAGGCAGGGGGGCGCAAACCAGCGCGCAGCCAGCGAGCACCATATTGAACCCCCAGAACTGCACGTCCGAGTTGAGGCGGCGCATCGCTTCGCGCTCGTTGGCCGACGCCTCCTCTGAGGCGGCCTGGAATCGCAGCCGCACGGGCTTTCCTCCAACCTGGCCCGTGCTGATGCTCTCTGGTGGGAAGTAGCCATCCTGCGGTGCCAACGTGGCAGAGCCCAGCACCGCACGCTCGCCGATCCGGCTGCCGGACAAGACGCAGCAGTGGTCCAGGACATTGCATCCCCGGTGAAACCGGACCTCCACTCTGGCATCGTCGCTCTGGCACCACACCGACACCACGGAACCGAAGACAACGTCGTCTTCTATGATGACGCAGTCTGGGTCCGCACAGAAGAAATTGTCGATCTGAACTCGACGGCCGACCTTCATGCCGAGAAGACGGTAGATAACGCTCAGCCCCTCTGTGCCCACGAGCATGTCTGCGGCCGTGTCGTACATGCGAGCGCTGATGGCTTGCTCGTGCAGCCAAGAGCGGAAAGCGTCCCACTGGCTCGCCCAGGTCTGCTCCTTCGACGGCAGCGGCCCGGGCCCCAGGCGGCCCACCACGGCGCGCTTCTGCAGCACCGTGAGCGCCACGAAGCTGAAGGCCGTCAGGTGCCGGAACAGCACTGGCGCCAGCAGCCACCACATCGCCCGCCGATCGCCACACCTGAGGGGCAACGTTCGGGGAGCACCGGCTCGGGTTAGGTCGGGCATGTACTCCTACAGGCAGATTTGGAAGACATATAAAACATAGTATCAAACAAATGCCAAATATAGCTGAAAGAGCACGAGACATCGTCCCCAGGCTGTATTCTTCTTGGATTTTCATCCTCTAGAGGGACATGCCAGACTTAAGACTTGGGGACCCGCAAGGAGCCCCTGATATAGCGGATCCACAAGTTGTTCTCGGAGGGGCGGCGGGGCGGGGATGTCGGACCCCTAGTATCGGCCAGGAAAGGGCGACTGGAGTGGGAGGAGGAGGAGGAGGAGGAGGACGACGACGACGACGACGACGAGGTCGATGCCCCCTGTGAGCCTCTCCCCCCGAAAGTTGCGCAGTGGGTTTCGGGCCATACCTGCGGCCTCTGGCGGCCGTTCGGGACGAGCTGGGCACCCCCTGGAACGCTCACGGCGAGGCGCGGCTGCTGGAGAGCATTCCGACGCTGGATGAGCGCCGAGAGCAGACGAGAACGTCTGAAAACCTCGCACCTTGAAACTCACAAGCGCTGTCGTTGCCTCCCTGGGCCCATTCCCGCCCCCTGACGTTGCCCCTGAGAAAGGGCCTCGAGGAGACGCCACGTCAGCGAGGAGGCGGGCCCCCCAAGAGCACTCCAGAGAGCCTCCCCGAGACGGCCCCAAACAACATCCAACAGACCTCCTCGAGCCTTCGATCCTGGAGCCTCGGCCTCCAGGAGGAGCTGGTGACGCCTCCAGTGGTGCTCCCCCTTGTGGCGGCGAGCCCAAGGGGGGAGGGGAGAGGGGGCATAGAGGCCTCCTGGATAGGGCCCGAGTAAATGGGGCCCGCAGGCGGATTTTGGGCGAAAGAACATCTTCAACCAACACTCGAAAATTGTCAAGAGTAGTCAAACATCGTCCCCAGACGATTTTGCTCTTAACCCAGACGATGTTGTAAAACTATGATTTAATGTTCCTCCTGTAGAGGGATATGCCCGACTTAAGGCTCCTCCGACGGCGCAAGGGCTCCTGCGCAGCTCTGCCGCCTCCAGAGCAGGCCTTCCCCCCCCCCCTCCGCCCTCCCCCATCCCCCTTCCCCCCCCCCACACACACCCCGGGCTCGCCGCCGAGCCGTGACCCCAGAGTGAGGATGAAGAGGGAGGAGAGGAGGAGAGGAGAGGCAGGAGGAGGAGGAGGAGGAGGAGGAGGACCATCCCCCATTGGCGCTGCCCGCGCACCACTCGTGGAGGGCCTCGAGGGCGAGGACGGCAGGGGCCACGGCCAAGCCGTGGAGCAAGAGCACCAGGGGCAGCCCGACCGCGAGGCGCAGCGTGTCCTGCATCTGGGGCGCGATGCCCGGGCTCCTGTTGCCGTCCGTGCGGCAGGATGAGGCGAGGATGAGGATGTTAGGAGGAGGAGTAGGGAGAGGTAAGGAGGAAAAGGAGGATAGAGAGAAGAGGAAGAGTAGGAGGAGTAGGATGAGGAGAGGAGGGCGGAGGAGGAGAGGTGCACGCGGAGCCGATAAGGAGGAGGAGGAGGAGAACAGGGAGGATAAGGAGTAGGACGTAAGCAAAGACGAAAGACGGAGGAGGAAGAGGAGGAGAAGGAGGACCAGAAGACGACCTCCGAGCCCTGCCCCCGCCCACCCCTCGGTGTTTCTCCTGCATCGACAGGGGAACAAGCAATGACATAAGCATGAGAAAAACTCGGAGGTCCGCGCGGATTCCTCGGATCGGCGCCAGGGCCCCCCTGGCGGCGGCTCTGGCGCTGCCCCTGGCTCGCTCCGCGCGCCACGCAGAGGGGTCCAGCACCGATATGTTCATGTCATTGCTTGTTCCCCTAATCGAGGGGAGGCGGAGGCAGGGTTCGGATTTCGCCGCATGCTCGACGAATTCTCAGCCCCACCCTTGCCGTCCATCAAGCTGCTCGAGAACCGTTGATCGGCGAGAGTATACGGCAGGTTCGTGTCGTGACGACCCTGGCGTTGGTTCCTGACACCGCGTGGATCGTTCAACCTTGAGCGCTCCGCGGGTTCCCGATCGCCAGGTGGTTCCATAATGACCCGATTCTGGGCCCCTGCAGGCGATCAACCTTGAACGCCCGCTGCGGGGTCGCCGCCGAGTCGACACGACACGAACCTCCCACAGGGCTCGAGAGGACGAGGGCTCGAGAGCCGCGGCCGATCCCAAGGGCGGCGCCGAAACCCGATAAGCCGGGGGGTGGGGGGGGGGGGTGGCACAGCGACAAGGGGGGCAGGGCGGACCGCGGGTTCTCGGCGGTTTCTCTCGGCCTCGGGAAGCGTTCCAGCAGCCGCGCCTCGACGAGAGCACACAGGGGGTGCCAGCAACGTCCGGAGTGGCCAACGGAGCGCCGATCCTCCTTCTCCTCCTCCTCCTCCTCCTGCTCCTCCTCCCCCTCCTCCTTCTCCCTCACTACCTCCTCCTCCTCCTCACTTTCATATTATTGTTAGTATTATTATGGATTGTCTTCTTCTTCATATTATTATTATTATTATTATTATTCCTCCTCCTCCTCCCTCACTGCCTCCTCCTTCTCCTTCTCCTCCTTTCCCTCCTCCTCCCTCCTGCCATACTACCTCCTCCTCCTCCTCGTCCTCCTCCTCCTCCTCCCTCTCCCCCTCCCTCTCCCCCTAGTCCCTCACAACCTCTTCCCCCTCCTCATCCTCCTCCTCCTCCTGCTCCTGCTCCTGCTCCTCCTCCTCCCTCATCATCATCACCACCATCCTCTTCTTTTTGTGTGACATTATTGTTCTTCCTACTATCAATGATATTATTAATCTTAGTCTTGTTATTCGTATTTTTCATTTCTGGATAGTAGTAGCAGTAGTCGTCGTCGTCGTAGTAGCAGTAGTAGTGGTAGTGATAGTAGTAGTGGTAGTGATAGTAGTAGTCGTCGTCGTCGTCGTCGTCGTCGTCGTCGTGGTAGTAGTGGTAGTAGTAGTAGTAGTAGTAGTAGTAGTAGTAGTAGTAGTAGTAGTAGTAGTAGTAGTAGTAGTAGTAGTAGTAGTAGTAAGTAGTAAGTAGTAAGTAGTAAGTAGTAAATAGTAAATCGTAAGTAGTAAGTAGTAAGTAGTAAGTCGTA